TTCTGGTGCAATGCGAATTTAAAATGCAAAAAGTACACAGGAGTATTCCCTGGGTAAACGCATGACTCCTGAGAGGTTTGCAAATCATATCAGCGGATAAATCTCTCAGGTAGAGTGTCGGGGGTAAAATGGAATGGGTGGAAAATGCGGGGTATTATCCAGATGTAGGGGAATATATTCTAAGAGTGGGTGAAGTGGAGAATGAGGGTTGATGATGACGTCATACCAAAGACTCGGGTCACGTACTGGAATTCAGGTCGACTCCGTCTCACTCGCCATTTTATATATATATTTTTTTCTCCTTTCATCGCTCGATTCCTCCATTTTCTCGACTTACCTCTTCATTTTTCTTTTTGCCCCACATTTCGGGTTTATTCACACCGGATTTCCCTTTTCACCACGACACGTGACTAATGCCCATTTTTAATTACCGCATCGCGTAATTACGGGGAAAAATGCCCGAGTAATTTTTTCGGGTAGAGGGGGAGGGCAATTGTGAATTTATAAATATTTATTGATAATTAATCGGAATTTTTTTATTACCTCCATTTTTCCAATCATATGCAATTTTTATTGGCAATAAAAATATTAATAATGTTCAATAAATTTTAATCATTTTGAAATTTCGAATAAAATTGAGTTTTCGGGATAAATCGTTTATAATTTAATTACAAAACAAAATCCATTCATAAATGATAATAATAATAATTATTATTGTTATAAAAAAATTAATGAAGATTGACTTTTCCAATTAAAAAAAAAAAATTAATTGGGTTTGAATTGGTTTTTCAGATATGAATTTGTCGGTTGGAATTCTATATTTTCGGGGTCTCGAAGAGAATGGGGATCGATATTTAAACCATCCGCTTCAATTAAACAGGGGGTGGTCGGAAGGGGGATGGGGGGGTACATGAGGTAGCAGTGAAGGGTTGATGCAAAAGCTTGTCGGTTAGCAGTCGAAGCCCAGAGTTGGTAGTAAATGCTTGAGGCATCAAGTGCATACAACCGAGAGAGCTGTGGAGATGATGTGCTCCTCTGGACATACCCATCATATCGGCTAAATCAATCTAACTAGATAGTTTACTCTCTCATTCTGTTCGTATCGTGTTTCCAACATTTAGGAACAAATTGCTCATTAAATTGTTCAACACGTGTCCGCATCCCATTTATACCCATCATCAATTTTCATCAAATTATTTCAATTCTTATAAATCCAATTTTATTTTTGCAATAATAATAATAATAATAATATGATTATTACTTCATTAATTGTTTTTTTAAATCATAATTATTTTACTGCAATTATTTTGCAGTAAAAAAGTCAACAATAATTATTATTATCGTTATTTTTATGATAAATATTGTAATAATATTGTTAAAAATTCATATAATTGTTATATTCCGCGACATATATGTTGTTTTAAGGGTTTTAATATTTTTTAATCCTTTTTCAAGGTTTAAAATGGCGGGACGTTAAATTACATGATTTATCCGTTAGTTGATTGAACCCGTCAGATTTTCCCTCTCCTCGACCTGAAGATGGATTTGCAGATACGTCGTGCAATGAATCCATGTCGGACATCCGGTTAACAATAGTGTTATCTATCCCCTGGTACTCCCCTACTTTCCCCCTGCCCTCCCCCACCCAGACTGCACCACTCGCTGATATCCGTAATTCGCGTCTGGATGGAGATTACGCGAGCTGGTGCGCGCGAAATTTGAGTGTCACGTTTTGGGGGTGGGAGGGAGGGGGAGGGAGATTTACTGTGCGTGGAATGCGTATTAATTATCGCGGATGTGTTGTAATAACTCGGAAGGGGGAGAAAATCGAGGGAAAAACAAAAATCCATGATTTTTGAGGGGAAATCGAATTTTTTCTGAAAAAAAATGAAAATGAAAAATTGAAAAATTGAATGAAAATGAAAAAAAAACAATATTGATTATTCATTCAATTTTAATTAATTCATCAATTCATTCATTTTATTCGTTTTTTTTTATTAAAAATTTTTGATGATTTATGAATTTTTAGTGAAGGAGAGGAATTAAAAAAATTCAATTTTCGATTCCGTAATTCTCGACTTTGCGTAAATTCCATATCATAATTTTTATACGTTTAAATGTATAATAATAATAATAATAATAATAATAAATTAATTAAATTTTTTGATGATTTATGAGTTTTAAGTGAAGGAGAGGAATTAAAAAAATTCAATTTTCGATTCCGTAATTCTCGACTTTGCGTAAATTTCATATAATAATTTTTATACGTTTAAATGATCAATTGTTCACGTCGAAACCGTCGACTCCCTCTCAATGATTTGTCAACTGGCCTTCCAACCCGGCCCATGGTATTTCGCAATGCGAATTACATCCACGTCTCGACGACAAGAGTTAATCTTAGATGAGATGTTTTTGTGGTTACGGCCTCGTTTTAATGCACCTTGGCTGCATATCATCACAATAAACCGCGAAATTAAATCGACGCCTCGAAGCAGCCAGTGAAAATAGATTCGAGGATTGATGCAATTATTTAAATTATTTCAAGCGACACGAAGCAGCAAAAAAATAACAACTTCATGAAAATTCCACGACGAGTTGCTCTCGAACTCGCGGAAATCGGTGATCGACATGATCTGGGGATGAAATTTCTTAATTAATGATTAATCTTAAGTGACGACGGGGATGAAAGGGTTGAAAGGGGCGGAAGGGGTGGTAGAGGTGGAAAAGGTGGAAGAGGTGGAAGGGGTGGAAGAGGTGGAAGAGGTGAAAGGGGTGAAACGGGTGGAAGAGGTGAAAGGGGTGGAAGGGGTGGAAGAGGTGAAAGGGGTGGAAGAGGTGGAAGAGGTAGAAGAAGGTGGAGGTATTCGCTCTGATTCTCTTCTCCGAGGATTCCATTGTGCATCGATACTCTCGACGAGACCTCGTTAAATCAAGAGTTCCGGGTGTAAAGAGTTACGAGAAAATAATTGAAATAAAAATTGAGTGGATCATGGCTTTTGTAACGACACGAATGCTGAGATCATTGACCGATAGATCGGATCAAAGAGCATTTGTCGTATAAAAAGAGTAGGTCACATACGTACCTCTATGATTGGCACTTAACCCATTTGATCTAACAATACAGTATTTATTTTCTTTTTCATTATTCCTCCAGCCAATATTTTTCATTGTTGGAAATTGAATTAATCAGTGGATGAATTAGAGATATTGTTCTTAATTGGAGAGACTTGGTGATGTGATTGATGGGGTTGGAAATCATTTGGGGATCTCATCTTCTGGGTGAGGATATCCATGAATGAATTCAGTGGATTGTCTTTCCCTGTGGAGGGTAATGTTAGGAACGCGGAAACAATCGCGGGTACTTCGGGATATTGGATTTGTTCGATTGAATTCGCGCGATTCGAGGAAACGAATGACCAGTCGGAAGAATATATCGGGATATATTTAGTGGTGAATGTCGGGGGTTCAATGGATCCGGAGGAAACGGTGATATTACCGGGTCTTCCGGAAAAGTTTAGTCTCAAGTTGAAATATTTCTAATTCTTTATTTGAGACACTCACTCAAATTAATATCGAAAAATTATAGATAATTATTTTATTTCTTCGGGGGGTTGAAAAAAATGTAAAAAGGGGGGGGGAAAGTCGAGTCTTAATCAAGCCTTAATCAAGTCTTAATGAAGTTTTAATCAAGTTTTAATTAAGTCTTAATCAAGTCCTGGGAAAATCTGCACAAGTCTTCAACCCAGAACCAAAACAATGAAATTTTTTTGGGGTTGAAAAATTGAAAAATAAAAATGAAAAATCCCGCGAACGTGAGGCACATAACGGGGCATTAAATCATCTGTCCACGACATTGTTATACATATGTATGCAGACAGGATCGAGCAGGACAAACTGATTTATTACCACAGGTATAATTGCCACTTGAGAGAACGGCGGATGAGTCGAAAGAGTTGAGGGAGTTATAATTCGAAGAGGGAATTGTTCATGTACAGACATGTCGAGGGTTATCCGCTGTTCAACAGCATAATTGATAGTTGAGAGGAAAATGTTTCACTATCCTATTTACATGGTGAGAATTCCCGGCTATGTTTTAACCTCATACATATGCATCTCTCTGATCTTGTGTGTAAAAGGCACTGGCCATTCCCTAATCATTTTCACTTGCCACTGACTTCAATTGACTCTCTTGACTCGAATTCATTCGCCCTCCCAGCCATTTTATTTCAGGGAATAATCACGACGTCAACTAATTTAGAAACAAAAAATCACGCGGTCGTCGCGTGATATCAATTCTCATCAGAGATAATTCCGGGATTTTTCAGTAATAAATATCTGAAGGAGAACTTTATTTTGAAACTTTAAGTCTTTCATAAATCTTCTTCTGAGACTAATCGATCACTTGGGGCTTTCGACTCAACTTTAATTTTCCAACGAGATGTACTGCGCACTCTGTGCGCCGAATTTGAATTTGGCGGTTCGAGTTGACCAATGGGAAATTTGTCCTACGCGTTTCGAGATATTTCGATATTTCGACTCGGGCAAACTTCATTTTTGTGTTTCTACTTTTATAATAAGGAATAATAAGGATAATAAGGATTCACAATTTATTTTTAATTAATTAATTATCAAGAATTTGTTTTATTTATGAGGGACATGTCGGAGGCAAGAGGATTATATTATTTCTCTTGTCAATTCGTTAATTGTCTCTGGGTTCTGTACAAAGAGCTCAGACAAGCGTGATTTGGCTTTTTTGAATTTACATGACAAGAACTTGTGGACCCGTGAGACGAAACAAAAGGATTGCAATTAAATCAGCGAGTGATTGCTGAAAATCCGAGGTGAAAATCAAGGGAAATGGAATTTCATGGTGCAATTAGGTGAATCTCATTAGCTGATGATGAAGTGTCTGAGAGAGAAAGCGGGTCTGATTGAATAACTAAAAAATCATTTCATTTTTCCACCAGGAGTTCATATTTTTCCCTCATTCTCTGTTTCAGACATCAAGTGCTGAAGTGACTGCTGATAGCCCCGAGGATGATGCACTCTTCGTCCGAATTTCTGGTGAGTGACTATCAATCCCCAGTTTTTCGCCGATTTCTCGACACCGAAGGAAAATTACGATATTTTCATAGAAACCTTTTTTGTAGCTCTCCCCATTTTCCATAAAAAATGTTCACACAAAAAATTCGCTGTGTTCCCTCAATTCCGAGATATCGGCTGAAAATGACTGACAAAAAATGCACTTACGATTGAATTCGCAGAAAAAAAAATTCTTTCTTTGCAAAAAAAAAAAATTGCGATAATCGTTTCCGCGATTTAACCCTCAGCATCAAAATGCTTTCATGGCAACGTGTACAGAGGTAAAATCAATATGGAATGTGGTTTAAATCCAATATACAGTTCCCCAGGAGTGCATTCAACCTACAATGAGAAAAAATGACAGAAAATACCGGAAAAAAAAGTACAAAAATCCTTTCAATACGAGAAATAAAAAAAAGCCAATAAACGATTCTCGCCGATAGATAAAAATTTATCGGGACTATCCCGGTGTATCCATTACTCGTTAAAATGGAATTTTAAAGTCCCAGTGATTTATTTAATAGAACGCAATACCAAAAATGCATTTAACCCTCGAAAAAATTCTCGACGCAAATAATAAACAATTCCATTTGTTTTCCGATACTCAATAATAGACGATAAATAATAAAAAATATATCTGTGATATTTATGAAGTACACAAATAGCCAAATATAATTATCGATTGTTATTTGATATTTGATGACGAAATTTTTATCTCAGAAATAAAAAACACCCTCGAGTGCAATCGAGTCTCATTACATCCGATACCTCGCAATGTCCAATATCGATTCGTCCCATCTCTTTATCTCGCAGTAAAAAAAAATCATTATGTCTCACCTTTTGTTCTGTTCCGTTCTGTTTTGTTGTTCTGCTCAGCTCTACCTTCAGCGTTTTCTCATTAAAAATAGAAATAAAAATTCTTCTCGATGCGCAATTGCACGATAATAAATCACCGATTTTGCGTAATGACGGTATCAACAACAAGATGCAAACCCAACATTTAAACATCGGACGGTAATCGAAACGATCCTGTTATCGCTAATTAGGTTAATTTAAATTGTACAGTGAATAATGAGAGGTTTATACGGATAAGTTTCTGTAGCATCGCGACTCTTTTGAAAGCTATGTGAAGTTGGCATCGAAGTTTGAAAAATCTAACTTTTTTTTGTTGGTTTGGATTGTACTCATTGAGTACTTGAATGT